TATAATAAGAATAATATATATATACGTGGGTATATGCCCTCTTCGGCACACCACTACCGTTTTCACGACACTGTAACTAGCTTCCTAAATTTAAAATAAAAATTATTTACAGATGGAAAGGGGAAAAAAAGCGAAGCAACACAACTTAACCATTACGCGTACACCTAGGTACAAAACAATCTTCATAAATTTGTTTTGTCTTTTCGCTACTCCAAAGGTTTCATAGAATCATGGAAACCGAAGCGCACACTAAGAAATGGTCTACTCACACACAGCCGGTGTCTGAAACACCATGTTATAGTGGCACATTGAGGGCTCCTCAGCCTGCACCAACTTATTCTCCGAACCACACACAACATGAACGTCAGTAGAACGATGAACGCCATTCCAGCACCGATCTCCATTTTCGAATATCATGTGTGTGTAATCACTTGTGCTCGCCCATAAAGAGTATGTGCTCTCAGCAAAACGGCCCCATCTTCCCATGCAGGGCCCTGACTTTGTACCCTTATTGTATTGATGTGTGTCTTTAAAAGGGCACAATTCATAGGTGTAACTCATAAAGTCAACTGTAAAGCATTCTCCCTCAAGCGCTTTGACAATATCCTCTGCGTTTATTGTTCTATTCAATTCCTTCTGGGCCTTTTCAATGGAGGAGGTAAGCTCATTAATCCTCTCACGAATATTCTGAACTTCACGACGAAGATCCCGTGCCTCCGGTAGCTCATAAGACGATCCATCTTCCATATCAAAGTTTTCTTCATTGTTATCTGAAGATACTCCATCCTTGCCACCGCTTGCACAAACAAACGAGCACTGTAACATCGAGTGGTCACATGCCTTTTCGTAAGCAACTGTCGAATTCAATTCCTCATTAAAGCACTCACAAACACCCTCTTCTTCACCCGCAATCAGGTCATTGCAATCCCTATCATCACCCCCCGAGCCCTCTTCGACATCACAAACGCGTGTAGTACGCCACTTGAGGCACTTCAAAGAAGAGTTTGTGGGTGTTTTTGTTGCGTTATTCTCACGTTCCCTTTTCCACGCTTCATGGGCAACATCGTACGCAACACGCAACCGCTGCTTTTCCTCCTTCTCTTTTTCCTCCAATGGAGCAAGTTTCATAGTGATTTCCTCAATAATCTTCTTTTTCTCTTCAAGTTCCGGTATTTCACCATTGAGTCTAGATTTGGTATCTTCACGGTTTCTCACAGCCTTCGCTATCATATCTTGTTTTGCAGCAATCCCCGCTTGTCTGATGCTCTCTTCTTCCTTGATTCTCTTTTCTTCCCTTTCATAAAACTCAGCACATACGTTTGGGCATTGACTAATACCAGAGTACTCATCAGAACCGTCGCAACAATCACATATTCCATCGTTGATTCGGTTATGGGGTATCTCCTGTGGCTTGAATCCCGCATTTTTGCACGTAAACATCCAATCTGGTGGAAAATTCGCCTTCGTTCCATAGTGCGTACAAGCCGAAGTTCCTGGTTCATCGCTTCCATCCGGGCAATCGCAGTAATCATCATTAACCTGGTGGCCTTTTATGGCGACATTACCGCTAAGGCACTTGAAAATGTCATCATGTTTAACCACCTCAAAATGCCTTAATAAACTCCTTTGAACACCGTACAATGGTTGCACAGCTGAAGACACAGGCACCACCAGTGCGACAATAAACAGCACAGGCAAAAGCATTTCTGACTTGTTTTATTTGCTCTACACAACAGAAGGATTAATAATAAAAATAGGCGAGAAAGTGTCATTCATGGAAAAATGAGCAATCAACATATCAAAATATAGAATGAAAGTAATAAAGAAAAGGGGAACCAATCAAACTCCCGTATATAACTGCGGAATACCGTAATTGATTTCCCCAGTACAAACGATAATAGGTGAACACACTCATTTGGCCCTTTATTTTTTTTTTT